CAAAAGGGGGTCCAACCCGTTACTAGCGTGGTGTACCTAATAAAGTGGCCAGTGAGTGTATATGGTGTGAATGCCACGAAGAATTGAGGCAGTTCTGAAGGCAAAAGGGGGTCCAACCCGTTACTAGCGTGGTGTACCTAATAAAGTGGCCAGTGAGTGTATATGGTGTGAATGCCACGAAGAATTGAGGCAGTTCTGAAGGCAAAAGGGGGTCCAACCCGTTACTAGCGTGGTGTACCTAATAAAGTGGCCGGTGAGTGTATATGACCAGTGTTAAAAGCTTCAAGTATACTGATTAGAGAATACAAAAGAATGTTTAAAAAAGGCATTTTCATCTTATCTATTCATTAAGTAATTTCAAAGTAAGAGCAAAAGGAGCTGAACTGATTATTCAGGGATTATCGCTTTATTTTGAAAATCCATTGCCTTATTCTTCAAATCTTTTATTTAAAATATTTTTCCTCTCTTAGCTGTGCTAGTTTAAAGTGTTGTTGCTCTTTGAATAGATAACGTCACCTTTGTCTGAGGAGCACGATTTGAAGACAGTTTCTGCAGTGATGTTTATTAAATAAATAAGAAAACAGGTTAGAAACGCCATTGTTTAACTTTTAATGTGCATGTCATCTTTAAGTTTTATGTTATTGTTTTATAAATCATTTTCATAGCCAATAAAGTGTCAACATGGTATCTTTTTCCTGGAAAGCTTTTTATCTGCTTGTTTGAGTGCTTTTGTTTTTCCTAAAGTGTGTTGTTTTTTTATTTCGTTGTGCTTGTCATGTTGTCTTTTGTTGTCCTGCTTGACATTTAGAACCTGTCGTTAAGAACTCCCTAAACGAGGCTTTTTTAAAATCTACAAGGTTTTGATAGTGAAGGAACTTTTTGCGAGTCTTTGTTTATACCTCCTCCATCTTCATCGTTTCTCTCCTGCGTGTCTATTTGCAGCTCGTCTTCCTCACTTTCAGAGGCGTCTCCGAACTCTTTCCCGTACTGCGCTTCGATCTGCTGCAGCTCCTTCTCCAGTTCAGACATGGCTGCCCAGCTCTGCTCCTGGTACTCCTCTGCCAGCCTGGGGTTAAAAGCGGAGCTCGGTGAGTAGCAGAACGACGCAGAGAAGAGCTGCGTCAGTTTGAACGCTCTGCTTACTTGGCCTGTTTCAGCTTCTGCTGCCGCCTCGTCTCCTCGATCTTCCTGACCTTCTCGGCGTTCTGCTCCTCCACCAGCTTCCTGTGGGCCTGCACGCGGCGGTCGCGCTTGCGGACGAACGCCACCAGCTGGCGCACGAGCTCGTTGCGCTCTTTCCGAGCTTTGTCCCTGGTCTTCTTGTTCTCCTTCTCCATGGCCCTCTTCTCCCAGCGGTTGGAGGCTTGCCTCGTGTCATATTCCTCCTTCCAAGCAAAGTTTTTGCGAGTGCAAAAGCTCTGCCAGTGGGCGTAAAACTCGTGCACTACCTATGACACAGAAACAGGTGTTGGGTAAAAACACACAAGGTGCCGTCTCGACTGGGATTTCTCATCATAATTTGCATAACTGACTTCTGTCCAAACCTCGGTTTGACACGGAGATGGACATTTTAAGAGCGTCTGGAGCTTACCATATCATAATCACTCTGCGAGTCTCCAAAGGGAGGAAACTCCTCTTCCTCTTCCTCGTCGTCCATCCTGCGGTGCTCCATCTCCTCCTTAACAATGGACTCAAAAAGATTCCTGTAAACTGTGTAAAAGCCCTGGGGAGAGAAAATGAAAGGAACAGCAAATTAGAAAATCAGCGTTCTGAGAGGCACCAAGAATTTCCTTTCCCACAGTTTAATGGCGCTGCCAGCCTAAACATGGGCTGAAATCACAGATGAGTTACAGACTGAAAATCACACTTTTATGCTGAAAAACGGCTTTGTTCCACAACAATGAAATCACCTTCAGCTATACACAAAATACATGTGACCCACGTGATGTAACTGGACTCCATGTTTGCTCACAGAGTCATGAGCTTCACCCTTAATGTTTACGTTGTAGTGGACATCATACGGGCCCATCCTTCCCAAATTAACATGACGGTGTATTCAAAGGGATCACAAACATAAATTAAAGTCTGAGCATTCCTTGAAGGAACACATTTCGCTCACTGCTTTTTATGCCAGAGTTTCAGACTGTTACGTTGAGAAATAACTGAGGTGGAGTCAATTTGGTCAAACCTGGAAAATAATCTGATGGGATATCATGAGACTGCCAGCTACTATCCTGTCACATTCCTGCTCATCTGTAAAATAGCCTGAGTTATAGCCTGTTTTTAAAGTCGGTTATCTGTGACAGCCATCTTGAATTGTGTAGTCTCCAAAGGCACATTTTATGATTGCTTATTGCACATTCCATTACAATTTGGCAAACTTTGTCCACTTTTAGCTTTCAGCGATGGGCAATAATCAAAGCAGAAAGTTTCACTCGAGACTGAAAACAAAAGGACTTCTGCTTTGAATATTGGCTCGGGCCTTATTGTGTGGCATTTGCATGTTTTTCCTGTGTCTCCGTGTGTTCCCTCTTCAGCTTATTCTCACGGTACGAAAACAATACAGGTGTGAATGTGAGCATGCGAGGCTGTTAAAGTCATTTGTCTTCATGTTAGCCCCGTGATGAACTGGAAGCCTGCCAAATTCTGCCTAAGATGCTTTTGAAAACAAAGATTTTCCAAAACCAACAGACATCTTTCAAAGCATGACTCGCCCCCTGCTGGTCATTATGGAGAATACAGGTTGGTGGCATTTTTAACGTTTCCCAAACTTCATTAGACCCAAAGGCTAAAAGCAAATCTGAGATATTTCTGTTGGAAGCACTTGTGGGGATTTAGTCTTCCAGTTCTGCATCCCAAGTATATCCTGAGTGAGGAGTGTTATTGGTTTCATTGTCCTGTTTGATTGTGAGACTTTTTCCAAACTAAAAATGACACTAAATGATTTCTTATGTGAGCTTTATGCTGCAGTGACTATAAAAACTATTTACAGTTAAGTCCATATCTATTTGGACAGATAGACAGCATTTTCTTAATTTTGGTTCTGTAAATAACCACAATGAATTTTGAAGTTCAGACTTGGAAGAGCAACTTTGAAGTAGGGGTGTAATGATAAATAAAACTCTCCAGACGAGACGAGACAAGATTTTAATATTAGTTTCAAGAAAACTTCCAAGATCAATTTTATGCTGCAAAAGCCTTTTATTCTGTGTTTTAACGGTTTTTATTTATTACAAAATCAACTGATATCTTCCTTTTTCTGATTTCTTGAATCTCCTTAGACCTTTAGAACAGTGCTTTAATCATGCATGGCCTTCCAACATCATATAAAATAAATGACATTCATGCAGAACTTTCCAAAAACTGAATACACTCACCGGCCACTTTATTAGGTACACCACGCTAGTAACGGGTTGGACCCCCTTTTGCCTTCAGAACTGCCTCAATTCTTCGTGGCATAGATTCAACAAGGTGCTGGAAGCATTCCTCAGAGATTTTGGTCCATATTGACATGATGGCATCACACAGTTGCCGCAGATTTGTCGGCTGCACATCCATGATGCGAATCTTCCGTTCCACCACATCCCAAAGATGCTCTATTGGATTGAGATCTGGTGACTGTGGAGGCCATTTGAGTACAGTGAACTCATTGTCATGTTCAAGAAACCAATTTGAGATGATTCCAGCTTTATGACATGGCGCATTATCCRGCTGAAAGTAGCCATCAGATGTTGGGTACATTGTGGTCATAAAGGGATGGACATGGTCAGCAACAATACTCAGGTAGGCTGTGGCATTGCAACGATGATCAATTGGTACCAAGGGGCCCAAAGTGTGCCAAGAAAAGATTCCCCACACCATGACACCACCACCACCAGCCCGAACCGTTGATACAAGGCAGGATGGATCCATGCTTTCATGTTGTTGATGCCAAATTCTGACCCTACCATCCGAATGTCGCAGCAGAAATCGAGACTCATCAGACCAGGCAACGTTTTTCCAATCTTCTCTTGTCCAATTTCGATGAGCTTGTGCAAATTGTAGCCTCAGTTTCCTGTTCTTAGCTGAAAGGAGTGGCACCCGGTGTGGTCTTCTGCTGCTGAAGCCCATCTGCCTCAAAGTTCGACGTACTGTGCGTTCAGAGATGCTCTTCTGCCTACCTTGGTTGTAACGGGTGGTTATTTGAGTCACTGTTGCCTTTCTATCAGCTCGAACCAGTCTGCCCATTCTCCTCTGACCTCTGGCATCAACAAGGCATTTCCGCCCACAGGACTGCCGCTCACTGGATGCTTTTTCTTTTTCGGACCATTCTCTGTAAACCCTAGAGATGGTTGTGCGTGAAAATCCCAGTAGATCAGCAGTTTCTGAAATASTCAGACCAGCCCTTCTGGCACCAACAACCATGCCACGTTCAAAGGCACTCAAATCACCTTTCTTCCCCATACTGATGCTCGGTTTGAACWGCAGGAGATTGTCTTGACCATGTCTACATGCCTAAATGCACTGAGTTGCCGCCATATGATTGGCTGATTAGAAATTAAGTGTTAACGAGCAGTTGGACAGGTGTACCTAATAAAGTGGCCGGTGAGTGTAAATATAAAACTAAATAAGTATTTATTCCTTCTCTTTATGATCTTTGCATGTCTTTGCTTATTCTATGACATTCAAACTTACCAAAAAAAATCAACATAAATTAAAAACAAAATAAGTAATTATTATTTTTTCCTTTATGAACATCTATCAGACTTCTCTCTAGGGCTCTGGTCGGACCGCTTTCGGAAGGGGAGGGGCTCACCGCACCAATCGCAGAGGAAAGGAGGAGAAAGGAGATAAGTGCTTGGAAAGGGCTGTCGCCAAAGCTTCTTAAAGTCTCCAAAAACACTGGGAAAAGTCAATAGATTTGTTGCTAGAGGGGTCTAAAAATTTGCTAGATCTAGTGACAAAGTCGCTAAGTTAGCAACATTGTTAGCGAGATAACAGTTACCTCTCAACGAGAGATATCGCGGGACTTTAATATCACAAGATTTCATACAAAGAGATCTTGTTACACCCCTAATACTGAACCACACAGATGATCATTAAAGTTGATTCTGTTTGGGTTTTGATACGAGGCAAACGTCCATGTGTCGTGCTGACGTGTAGGGAACCGGTGGCTAAACACGGAGAGTAACCAGAGCCACGCAGGTAGTTTAGCTGCGGTCTAAGATTTTCACCCACCTCCTCACCGGAGGTTGAGCGGGTCTGAGCCTTCAAGCCGCTGGCTCAGGGCGCTGAATCAGCGATGCATGGAACCGCTGCTGCCGAGGCAACATGTTAAAGTGATGTTAGCAGCATCGTCGCTAACATGGGCTAATGTTCAAAGCAGTAACAAACTTTCTCGCAAAGCTCGGTCTCGCTGCAGGGGCGTGTCTCTGAGTAGTAAGTTTTTATACCCGAACACGGGAGCTGTGGTGTAAGCATGTACTAAATGACAAACGTAACATTTTAACCAACAGGAAAATTCAACTGCAGTAGCCACCATTTAACCCATAGAGGGCAGCACTAAGACAGTTTTTAGACAAAATAGTGCAGAATTAAATAAAATTACAAGAAAAAGTCAAAATGTGTACAAAAGTATAAAGATATTAGCCTTAAAGTGGGCCTACTATGGAGGTCTTAGCACAAGTTAGGATCCATCTGTGGGCTATACAAAACATGTTCATTTGATTTATTTCACAAAATGAATCTCAAATAATGAAATTTCACCTTTTCAGTTCTTCCTGTTCTTCAGCTCTCAGAAGTTGCTATGGAAACCTGCCTCCCCTATCCGTTTGTTTACTTTAGCTCCACCCCCCGACATGGTAGAAGTTTCCAAAGTGAAATTATTTTCACAAACTACACCTTTCTTTGGCAATATTGTTAGAACACTGTCATCAAAGATAAAAATAAAATCAATCCAGGCATCTCTGTTCTCTGTGGCTGCTGTAAAAACAGAACAACCATCGTCTTCTGAGGAAGTGGGCGGAGCTTCACCTTGACTTGCCTCGTGAGGAGCAGGACTCTGGTTTAGGTCGCTAGGTGACTGTTATTGTGACGTCAGAATAACGTGCTTTGAGAAATACCATGTTTCCAGATACCTAAAAATACATGTAATTACAGCTAAAACTAAAACGGCTGCGTGCATCTTGTTGGTGTTTGGACTGCTTCTCTAAGCAGTAGAGACACAAAAATAAGTTTAAAAACATGAAAAAGGTGAGTTTTCCATAAAAGGCCCACTTTAAGGCACAAGTTGCACATGTTAAAGGAGCCGAACTACTTCCATTCATCCAATTTTAAAGTGGTAACCCTCAAATAAAAGCTGAAAGTCTGGACTTTATGTCCATGTTTATTATATAACTATAACTTGAATATGTTTCAGTAAACAGGTACTAAACTTTGTGTCAGTGTTCAAATAGATATGGATCCAACTAAAACCTCCAGCAGAGGCATCAAGTCCTTGTTATTATTTCTCATTGTTGTATTTAGTTTAGTTATCCGTAATCCAAAATAAAGTAATTAAACCTTCCTTACTTTGAAATCACAACATGCAAAGAGCCTAAAATTCAACATTTTTTTTTCCACAGATGATTCATAGTCTTCCATCACGCTTTCATCCCTTTATTAATTTTCCTGTGCAGTCATCCAACAACAGGCTGGCCCAGTTAATTGTCTTTGTTGTTCTACAGTTAACAAATGACTGTCCTTTAGGAATCAGAGAGAAAAAAACGTTCAAACCGTGAGCCATTTGAGCTGAAGCTCTTCTTTCATCAGCGTCACTTTGTTTTGTCTACTGAGGATAAACGGACACTAAAACCAGCTGAGCAGCTGAAATGAATGCCTTCAGGCAAGAATTCCAGCAAGGTTGTTTTCTTTTCCTTCTTTTTCTCCACTTTAAATAAGACGGTTGCGTAATACAAAACATTACTCCTGCAGCCACGGCTACAAGTACACAAACCTTCTCGTCATCGCCGTATCCGGAGTAACAGGTGACTGTGAAGTACTGCAGCAGGTCGACGCTGTCGTCTTCATAATCCCCACTCAGCCCTCCTTTCAGCAGAGCCTCTCGGTGATTGTCGTACCTGGCGAGCAGAAAAAAAAGAGAGACAGAAACATTGATGAGACTTGGAGAACTGCTGCTGGTGAATGCTGTATTATCTGGGAGGAGATGGGTACACACCAGGCTCTCTCCTGCGGATCGCTCAGGACATCATAAGCTGCTTGGATCAGCTTAAACTGCTCCGCGGCCTCCTCCGCGTTTTCCAAGTTTTTGTCTTAAAAAAAAAGCCATAAAGTGACGCAAGCAAAACATTGTTGGGTCTTGGAAAAGATGGATCACACGTTGAGGCACAGATGAAGAGAAAAATGTGAGAAATTAAAGTCGCACAAATTTCAAGCAACTTGTAGCTGCTGCTGACTTGTTCTGTATTTTGTTTTATTTCGTAACTTTTCTTTTACTTAAACAGACTTACTTGTGATTACCTGAAACGGGGCTACACTTGACAGAATTGTAAAATAAAAAAATTAAAAATAAAAATAGCACAAGGTGTGTTTCTACTTTTACAGGAACCTGGGTCTTTTGTGAGAACTTTTTTTACAACACTTCATATTTTATGTAACTACACAAATCGGAGAAAAAGCAGAGTTCTGAGACAGAAGTTATACTCCAGAAAGCAATGGTGGAAAGGAAGTATTTAATTTAATTTAAATTTTTTTAACCGTGTCCTGTCCGGCAATGTTAAACTCAGAATTAATGTCTGAGTGCCAGGGTGAGGCCCAAAGGTTTTACTTTCACAAGTGCAGAATAATGGCTTTCACCACCATGATCCACTTGATATTTAAACTTTATTAGAAATTACTGATGATGCAGATGATCCAGGAGAAGGGGCAGCCCAGGACTCAACCACACACAGACACAAACACGCGTTCCCACCCTCATATTCACACCCACTCATTCAATGTAAACACACAAAATGGACGCTATATTCCACACACACTCGCCACACACACTCAATACTCCCAGGTCCAGGAAACGCACCCACCCCCTGCTGGGGGCATCCAGACCTAGGAGGTAGTGGTCATTTCGGGGTGGAAAGGACGGAGCAGACAGCCAAACCTCAGCATGGAAGTATTTTTTTTTAAGATGACCACGTACCTTTGAGGAGAAGCTTATGATAAAAACAGCTCTAATTAGCCAAACACTTTCTGCATTTTATTTTACAGTCACAACTCAAGCTGTAAAACAACCTGTTTGACTTTGCTTCTACTTTAAAGGATCCTCTAGCCTCGGTGCTTTTGTAACAAGAAATCATTTTGATTTTTAAAAAAGTAAATCAACAAATCTGGCACTATTAAATATATCTAAGAACAGATAAAGCACAAGATAGAATCATTGGCTTGCAAAACAGATTACTGATATGCAAAAAATATCAGTAAAGTCGTGGGAGCTCAGTATGATCCCATTGAAAAACAGTGGAATCAAAATTAATTTCAAGAGATTAGTGAATTATCTCTGCCCCTGATCAGTTCAGCCATCCAGAACTAAACTACCGTAAACATTCACCTCAAATCAATCAAAAATCTCCAAGAGTGAAGGAGGAAAGAAACAAATCAAGGCTGTCAGCAAATTCTCTCGTGATTCGACTTTAGCTAACACATATGGCCTTAAATTATTCAAAGTTACAGATAAAAGGGTAAAGGTTATGTGGTAGTATGAGAGCCATCCCTGACATGTATTAAAGCTTCTCGCAAAATGTGGCTGTGGCAGATAAATGCACAAAAACTGTAACAGTTTCCCCTTAAATTACAATAAGCAGAGAGCCTGAACAGGGCAGCAGGTGATAAAAGCACAATAAATTGGCGGACCCCTCCTCTGGCCTAACAGTTTTATCCTGTCAAGTCCCAAACTTGTGCTTTGTCTGCATTTTTAATTTCTGTGAGCTATTTAGGGTTAGTAGTAGCTCATAAACATAAAACCAATCTTTGTTTTTGAGTAATTGAGATAAAAATGTAAATATATTTGATTTCAACCCCCTGAATAAGGACAATTAGTCTAAAAACAAAATCCTTGTCTAAAGATAAAATCCTCAACATTAGGATGCCGTGTCTCAGGAGGTTATATGCATACTATTTGTCTATATAAATTTAGGAGAGGACAAGCACAATCAGAGTAATGATAGGACTACACTTCAGGTAAAAGTAAAATCTACCACAAATTTTGTTTCTAAAATTGCCTATGTATATTAGAAGGTGATTCCCAAACTACAAATGTAGTTGTAAAAATGAAATAAAACAAATAAATTTGACAAATCTAAAATTATGTTCTGTTTTTGACTTTGTGCCCCCACCACATTAAAACATTTCTGGAGGTGCCACTGTGGCTGATATCCATTTCAGCAATGTTAGGCTCTTAATTTGTCCTTTACAATTTAGATAAATCGCTTAATAATGTAAATTATTTAGGACAGAAAACTGAATTTATGATCTTTGAGTCTAATGCAGCCAAAAAAAAAAAAAAAAAAAAAAAAACGTAAGATCATATAATTTATTCTCAGTAATCTATTATCTATTGACCAGGTTGTTATCAAAAACAGTTTTAAAATAACTTTTACCTCATCCGGTCAAGGAACTGAAGGAAACTGGTGTGTTATAATAACACATTGGCAGGGTACAATTGATTATCTCATGTTAAGCTAATGCTTTAACAACCACTACTCACCTGGATGCCATTTCAAAGCCAATTTCCTATAAGCTTTCTTCAGATCATCATCTCCAGCGTCCCGTTTCACGCTCAACACTTCATAGTGACACTTCATCTTTTTCTAAAGCGGACACTAGAAGTGAACAACAGAAGAATTCACGTTTTCAGACTAGTTTAGTTAGCTTAGCAGCTAGCAACCGGCACAATCTCACTATAAAAACACTGTATCATCTTATATGTTGACGATCGTTTCATCATATTTAGCGATTTCTAATATATTTAAATCTGTAAACTGTTATTATTATTATTATTATTTTGCTCACAAAGAACCTTAAAGTAAGCACACACACACACAGACGTGTTGGTTTTTTGTCGCATGCCGCTTAATCTCGCGAGACTTCAGGCTCTCGCTTAAAAAAGGAAAAACTTTCACTGCAGCTCTTTACCGCCCTCTAGTGTTAGATTTGAATACCGACGTGTTTTCAAAGATTTACATCGTGATTAAAGTCAATTACAGTTTAGAGATATTATCAGGAAATGCCTCATCTTATATGAAGCTAAAACCAACCAATTCCCTCGTAATTTATTTTTTTCTTATTTTCTTTAAAACATTATCAGATTTGTTGCCTCATCTTTTTTTGTTTGTTTATTTAACCTGCATGAGTTTCTTTTCTTCAGTTGTTATTTAATGTCTGCATTAGTACTTGTTGTTCTGCTTTCTGACAATGTTGACAACACTTATTTTCTCAACATGTTGCTTTCTTTGTATGCAGATGTATATCCTTATTAGAAAGACAGTACAACCTCAAAACATTCTTACAAAATCTAATACATCGCACACAACACCATCTTAAAATGTTTACTTTTTCTTTGGTGTTCATTATTGATACCAGGAAAATGTCATGAAGAAAGGTTTATAGTTCTGTGCAAATATTTTTATCCACTCTTTAATTATTTTCTTCTTCTCTCTACTTTTGTTTCAAAGTTGCAGTAAAAATGTTTTTGTATTTCTGTTGATCTGGGTTTGAACAGATTATTATTTTTAATTTAAATCAAATAAAAACTTGAAGGAATGTCAGATCTTTTTTTTATGTTGTGCATGCACACGAGTCACTAATTATTACTTTCATCTACTTAATCATTGCATGTGAACTGTGAATTGTTCCATTTACCATACTTTCCGAAAATGAGCTTAGTATTTCCAACTTTCTTTTGCAACTCTACTGCTAAGAGGGTGCACAGGCAAAATAATTGGTAATAGGCCATTACACTCCAGTGGAAGTTGGTCACTGGAGAGCGCTTTTGGGACAGAACAAATATAAAAACGAAATAACCAAATAAAATGTTTAGTACGCCATAAAACAACACACACACACACACAAGAAAATGTTTAGTAGACATATCTATATATGTTTTAGATGTGCAACATACTTTCTATATAGGAATTAATGGACAAACTTTCATTTTACTCATGATCAATGTCAAGTCACTTCTGGTTCACACCAGGGTGCAGAAATTTTTATAAATTCAAAAATACAACAGGGCATAATTCACACACAAAGATATACAGTTTAACATAAATCTGAGTAGAAATTGAGTCATAGAACAATGCAATAAAGAGAAAAATAAAACAATAACAGAACATGCTCAATAATTAAATAAAATAGACAAACCTGTTACTTTTTGAAAGTAAATGTGAATGAATTTGAAGTAAATCTGTCGTTTAAATTTGTTTGAATTTTACGTTTTACAAAAAATTCTAATTCAACTTTGTTACTGTAGTTAGTTAGTTGTTGCTTGTTGGTTGCAGTATTACCTCCTCGCCACCAGGATCGCTGTTTATTCTATTGTCTAAAGCAAATCTCGCGTAATCTCAACCAGTCGCGCGAGATTTGTTTTCACTCGCAATCAACTATGGCGGCATCCAAAAGAAAACGTGGAGGACAGGGATCTTTTCAACAAAACGCAAAAAAGGGTAAATTTGTGGTAGATGATCGCGGAAGTCAAACAGAAGCCGAGCAAAAGACGAAAAATGAAGTTACAGTCCCAGCACCAGTTTCTAAGGTGAGTGTTTCGGCTTGTTTTTAGCTAATTTGTTAAGTAGCTCAAAGTAAATACAGTAGTGTTGTTAAATTGTTTTTTGTTGCTGGTTAATATTCTTTAAAACATAAGGGACGGTCGTTTGATAGGATGCTAGATTATGTGAGGAGTGAGAACTATGAAAGAGGATTAGGGCCACTGGAAAAATAAAATAATTTTGGCTTTTAATCTCGGAAGAATGTCATAATTCTAAGATTAAAATCAGAATTCTTTGAACAAAGTCAGAATTTTGACATAGTCATAAATATTTTTGTTCCAGTGGCCCTAATACTGTCTCATATGTTGCTCAAAGTAACACTAGAATTAATTTTATTTACTTCCTCTACTTTGCGAAAACGTTTCATGGAAAAAAGCAGCGCTATACTCTGATAGGACTGCATCAAGAACCATCAACCTAATCTAACTACATGTGCAAGAATTTTTTGGGGGGAATCCTTTGCGAAACACCACAATATGGAGTTATATCTAGTTAGGTGTACCTGTCAGAAATTTAAAATTTTCATAAACACCCAGTGTTTCCCATTAATACTCACATTCTTCGAGTGCTTTTTGCGTTTCAACTGTACTGTTGTTGCAGTGATGACATTTGATTTATTGTGCAGTACTTTTACTATTAGCAAACAAGAATGAAAGTGAAATAAAAAATGAAATGTCTTGAGATGATACGGTTTAATGAAAGTTGTTTTGTATTACTCAACACGTATTTTGTAATTAATATATCATCTTGGTATCGTCAATACTTTATCCTGAACAGGGCAAATGGACCAACAAGGAAAGGGTTCTCATCTTTTCTTCAAGAGGAATAAACTTCAGAACAAGACACTTGATGCAGGACCTGAGGACCATGATGCCTCATTCAAAAGCTGGTTCGTGTCACACACTGTTCAGTTGCCTTCTCAACACTGACAATTACTGTTTCATTGAATTATAACATTATATTTCTAGATACAAAAATGGACAGGAAGGACAAATTATTTGTTGTCAATGAGGTGAGTTTGTTTTAACTTTAGGTGTCATTTTGTATAATCACCTGCTTCAAAGCAGAACTTAAGATCAGTGTCATTTTGCAGGTTTGCGAGATCAAAAACTGCAACAAATGCATCTTTTTTGAGGCCAAGAAAAAGCAGGACTTGTACATGTGGTGAGTGTTTTATCAGTATTTGTGTCATCTAACTGAGTTGGCTTTAGGACGGTTGGAAAGCAGTAGAAATTAAAAAAAGTTGTTTTTCTGTAGGATCTCTAACAGTCCTCATGGACCTTCTGCTAAGTTTCTGGTGCAGAACAGTAAGTTGTTTCTCCTTCGTGCCTTAGACAAAAAGGATAGCTGCCTTGTTACAGGTAGACAAGTTATTTGTCTTTTCCACAGTTCATACACTGGCTGAGCTCAAAATGACAGGAAACTGCCTGAAAGGATCCAGACCGCTGCTCTCGTTTGACCCTGTGAGTATTAAACAGCCTTAAAACCTGAGAGAGTTCAATAAAAGTTGTCAGTTTGTTATATCATTGATTGAGTGTCAGGGGACAGTCGTCTGCTCCAAATAGGAACAAAAACACATTTCGAGCTGCTAACCTTTGACATAAGTTTTTTTTACTGTGTGACTTGAGTAATAATTATGGATTTAATGAGTCAGCAATCATTTCTTTATTTCTTCACACAGAAATTTGATGCTGAGCCCCAGTATGCTGTACTGAAGGAGCTCTTCATTCAGGTATGTTTTGAACCGACCAAGTGTGAAATGAGGAATATTAGAAAAACATACAATATCTTTATTGAGAAATAAACATTCTTCTGTAAGAAAAGCCTGATTAAATGCACAGAAAACCAAGTTAGTTCCCAGTTAAAAAGGTTTATTCTTCAGCTCATGCTCAGAGTTACTGTGTGTGTGAGCCTGCACCAAACAAAACAATGGCTTCTCTGTCCTAGGTCTGTCATGATAACAAATTTGACTGGACGATGAATTGTCTCAGAAATAATTGCGATACACGATAATATTGTTACATTAAAACTATCATCCTCATTTTAATCTATTGTGTGATTAATTGGTTTATTCTTTATTGTGACAGGCCTACTCTCTCCTGCTGTTGGTTATGCTAAAACCAAAAAATGTGTCCCTACAAACCAAAACATTTAATGTAACATCCTGGTCACACCCCTGGTGACGGTATCTTTAACATCAGCACGCTCAGCTACTTTACTCCATTTAATTGACCACATATCTGGTAAACAGGATGTGAGTGTTTGGTACTTGAAATATATAAAAGAAAAAAATCTATTTGTACTTGTTGACATTGGCTTGATAAATGATTCATCTATTGTTCTGCTCAAGCACAACATTTCCAGACAGATTACCGAGCATGTTGACAACATGGCATTTGGCACAAGGTTAAACCTTTTAGGTGTATTGACTTATTTTTGTTTTCAGTTTAAAAAAAACCACAAGTTTTGCTTGTTGCAGACATTTTCCACTCCCCGCTACCATCCTAAGAGTCAGCCTTTTGTGGACCACGTCTTCACATTCTCCATCACTGACAACAGAATATGGTTTAGAAACTACCAGGTAATGTTTCCTCAGACTTCATCGGTTTAAGGCTTCAATTATAAGTTTAAGTGAAGTTGTTGGTGCTCATGTTTTTTCAAATGCTGTTTTGTATAAGAACTCCTCTGTTCACTCTTTGCATGTACAGATAATGGAGGAGGATGCTTCGCTGGTGGAGATCGGTCCTCGATTTGTTCTCAACCTCATTAAGATCTTCCATGGAAGCTTTGGAGGGCCCACACTGTTTGAAAACCCACACTTCCGGTCCCCTAACTTGGTAAAAATCTTGTTTTGAATTTCTAAACTGGTTTCCACAGTCGAGCCTACTTACTGCCTGTTACATCTGGCCTTTTTTTTTTTTTTTTTTGACATGGTGGCATTTGTGACAACATGTAATGAACATGATTTTTATCTGCTGACACTAAAAAGTATGACTGGAAGAAGATGTCTGATTAGAAAGCAGCCCTTTACACTCTACCTTCTGCATTACTGTATAGTCTTGTAGATCAGGGGTGGGCAATCCTGGTCAAGAGCCACAGCCCTGAATGTTTTACTATTTTCCCTGCTCCAACACTCTTGATACAGTCATTGAATTTCTGAAGTTCTTCAGAAGCCTGATAAACACCCATGCATTCAAATCCGGTGTGTTGGAGCAGAGAAACAAGTAAAACATGCAGGGCTGCGGACCTCGAGGACCAGGATTGCCCACCCCTGATGTAGATCATAAATTCAAGCACAACATTTTAAAACAAGTATCCACTGTCCCTAATTTTTCTGCCTTTACAGCACCGGCGCGATCTGCGGCTATCGGCAGCAGCCAAAGTGCGCGAGAAGCAGCTGGTGAAGGATCTAAAGAAAGTAAAGAAGACAGAAGTGCATGAAAACAAGGACGATGATGTTACAGCAGATGTCTTCCTCACGCCGGCTGAGGAGAAGCCTGTTCACATTCAGACAGAGGCGCCGGAGCCAAAGCTGGTGAAGAAGAAGAGAAGCAAACCTTTCAAAAGGCAGAGGATGCAGAGGGCTCGAAAATAACCGAATGGACTGGATTTACTTGAATGGATGACTTCTGCTGGCCATAATTTATCTCATGTTTTCTGTCCCATATTATGAGTTTCTGGTTGGCTTCTCTGAACACACTTTGTTCTTAGAGAAATGTTTGTCTCATCATGATATGACTGGTGATTTCTATTTCCACGTGACAAATGTGCAGATGGTTACAAAACTTCAATATTAATTACCAAACCTTTTAATAAAAGTTAATGCTTAAAAATTTGAGTTTTGGTAGTTTTGTACTTCATGGGGAAATGAAATACTCAAAAGTGCTTCAGGTCTTATTGTGTGCAAATACTTCAAAACAGACATAAACACTTGTAAATTACAGAACCGGATCACCAGATTACCAGTAATTTACACAGTCTAGAAGTTATAAATATGAATGTAGTAAAAACGTTTTATCAAATGAGTGTCTACGAAACAAAGATTCTTGTTTAGAATTATAATAAACTGGTCAATGCTCTTTATGAATCATTTCAAATGTTCTGTTATATTTTATTACAAAACTGATCACTTTAATCTTTAAAAGTGCTCTTAACTTTTTACATACAATAAAAGTTTCTAGTTTGTCTTGGTAATCCAAAGGCAAATGGGAGCACTGCATTGATGCAGTAAATGAGGCGAGGCAGAAAGACCGCTGTTGACTTAATGAGAAGGGAAAAAAGTTCATTTCAGGAGTGGATGTTGATGTTTTCCCAGGGTTAGAAAAGTAAAAACTTGTAGAAAAAGAAGCCTGCGTTACAAAAGAGGGACAAGATCACGTTAGCAACTGAACAAGCCCCTATAAATCTTCATCCACCTCTTCATCGGGACAGCAGAAAAACTCCACGAAGCAGATATGCCCGTCGTCGTTTCGGACCAGGTACTGCAACGAGAGGACACCCCTGTTGTCTGTCCTCACGGAGACTTTACAGGACAGAGCCAAGGCTTTGGTGGACGGCTTCAGTAAGGACATCTTATATCTGTTAGAGAAAATCAGTGAAGCAGATGCTGTACTGCAGCTCTATAAACAGAAAATAACCAGCAAACAACAGTCCATGAATAGCAGCAAAGAGGTGTGAATAATATCACGATTATATCTATTTTTTAATAGACTCACTGATTCTACAAATCCGTTTTTTATTTCACAAAACCTTGCACTAAACCTAAATAAAGTTAATGGATGAAAACCATAACTGATTAGTACTGGTATCAACTGTAATACGTTTCAGAAACCAAACCATTTTTTCTAAGAGGCAGCAAAGATGCTAAACTTGTATTTCACCTTGTGGACACACTAAAACTGGTTTCACTGCAGTGACTGAACTGCTCATCTGATGATCGGGCTCACCTGTTGGTTTGCGTCTCGGCGCACCGGAACAGCTCCATCATATCTGAATCTTTGTTGTAATCATAATGGGCACTTCCAGAGTTCCCAAATGTAGACAACCTGGAGAGTTGGACAGAACAAGAATCCCTCCATAAGAAAACAAAGAAAACTCAAAAATCCAGTGTGGAACAAGTTTCAAGTGAGTTGCAAGCATTAAAGCGACAAACCAGGAAATAAAACACAAACCTGAAGAGCACCATCATGCCATTTCTTCTCCTAAAAACCATTGCTTGTTGTAGTTGCACTGTCATTTTTAAGTACAAATGCCAAATCAGCGACCGGTCCTGCCACTTTGGATGTTGCAGTTACGTTGCAGTCGATGACGTGACCTGTGCTGTACCGATTCTCCAATTTTTGTACTCTTGTAACCTGCGCCCACTGAATACACACTTCATAGGAGGGACAGTGCAAGTATCGGGACACCCTTTAACTCAGGGGTCTCCAACCCTTTTTTTCCTTAAGAGCTACTTTCACAAAATTAAATAGTCTGAGAGCTACTTTTTGCAACATTTAATTTTAAACTTAAACCATTGGAATAAGCTTGTTTTGCACCAAAAACTTTGCCTTAAATTCACATGAAACCATCACAGAGAACACTGATTTTACATAATTGGGCTTTTTGTGATTATCCATTCATATTAAAGTGTATTTCACACTAATAACTTTGGATTTAACTGCAACAGATTTGTGCACAAATAACGTCAGGTGACGGGTCTCTGATTTTTTTGCTGCATTTTTTTTTCCCAGCGAGAAGAAACCCCCTGCAATGCTCACCTGAAATATGGCTGGTTGGGCGACATGGTGATCTGTAGCACCTCACTGGTCATGTCCAGGTCAGAGAAGGCTTCTTTCAGACTCTCTGACTGCAGGATCACCTTCGAAAAACACAGATTTCATTTAGAACGTAAACTATTCTCTTGATAATATTTTAAAGGGGTTAATTAGTGTTTTCCTAATGTACAGCACTTTTACAGAGTCATTAGTGAACCTTGTTTGTGACATTGCTGCTGCAAAAATCAAAATCAATCGGTTCTTCTGGTTCTTCGGTGTTAATCTTGCAAACAGTCACTACACCGCCCTCCTCCAGGAATAATGTCAGAGGGTAACCATACCCCCTGTAGCACATCCGCAAGGCTGTTGATATTCCTACATATGAGTCAGAGAAAACAGGTCAACGTTTGGTTCAGGTTTGAATTTTCGCTCACTTAAACGTTGAGTTTAATTTCCGTTTTACCCGCTACTATGCTCCCTCCGAAGATATTCAAGCAGTCGAGCAGAACGGTGAGGTTTACTTGAAAAGCGATCAAATCCTCTTTTATGGTGAATTCTTGGAAAATATCTGCCTAAAATAAACCAGAGCTTTTGCTACGAGTTCAAACTCAAGTCTTTATTTTTGTGCTGCTCTCCAAAACAACAGAGGACAAACACACCTGGATGAAGGCATTGGCTTGCACACATTTGCAGTCCTCCACGGTGACCTTCAGCCCGTTGGGCGTCACAGTGAAGATGGCGTGGTCCTTAAAGCTGATAGCCTTTAGTAAGTTGGAAAGATTGCGGGCGTTGTCCAAAGTGGCCACTAAAACGTACTGTTCATCCTCGCCTTGAGACTGTGTGGACAGAGGCATCGTAGAACTGAAAGAGAAAAGTTTGAGGCTCTTAAAAGTATCTGTGTATGTTTTTGTGATAAAACATGAACAGACGAGACCACGAGACAAGACTTTATTAATGAAAGAGGAAAGCACAGTTATGTTTTCAGCCTTTAAGGTTGTTACGGTGTACGCATTTACACTGTTAGCTTTGATTCGAATGGGCCTAGATTCAATTTGTGTTATTTGTTTAGTTATGTGTTATTTAGTTTTCATGTCTTTTCATTTTGGGACACTTTGTCATCATTTTACATTTACTGTGTGTGTCTTTGTTCACATCAAACCAGCCTTTACTTCTTTAGAATATTTTTTTATTGGTCTGAAAATCTCTGGTATATTTTGGTCAAACCGATGTCCTTTCCTGCCAGGGTTGTCCCTTAGTTTGTCCTGTCCCAGATTTTATGTGTTGCTATTAAAAACCAGTGACAGCCCACTAAAACTTATTGAGGTTTGTACTCAATACCCATCAGTTTTTAATTGGTGTTGTGCCTTTCTTTAAAAAAAAAAACTTGTCACTATGCTATATGTTTGCGTCTTTCATCAGTCTTTCTTTGGTCCTTTCAATCATTTTATTTATTTATTTCTTTGCTTTGACAATATAGCATGACAGTTTTTGAGTCTCCTTAAAGGAACAAGAACATAACACAAAGTCAATTTTCATGTGCAACACAAACACAAACGAGTTAGTTGTTTAATTCTGCATCTTAAACATAAGTAACTAATATGAATGTTTCACTTTAGCTTGGATACTAAAGAAGGTCATGAAAAAAACAGTATGCACCATGTTATTGTTGGCTAGGCACACAAAGCTAGGCACAGCTTCGGTGGTACAGAGTGAAATGTTTGTTTGTGTATTTATGCTAAGTGGATTCTTCTGAATAAAATGCTTCGAAATATAATCAGAAAATCTTGCCATCGTTAGTCAGCCACTCACAAATTTGAGACCCACCTACCGCGGCGATCGTGTGTTTTGAAGATGTGCGCTCTGTTTCGGACCACTTCCGCTTACGTCTTCTTCCCCGGAAGTTGTACTTTAGTTGGTACGTAACGTTCCCGAGGCAGTTCTGCGAGTCAGAACACCTTAATAGAAAGTAATACATTTCTTTTCTGCTTCAGTACTGTCTGACATTGTCGCTATTTTGTGACCTGTTGTATTAAGGTAAGAATGTTGCTTAGAAGATGTTTAGGTTTTTCACCAGTCGTTGTTACCGCTAGCCGGGAGCTAGCTCTTGGCTAGTCGTCAGGTTTAGAGCTGATTTGTTATCAGCAGTAAATGTACGTATGAGCAGCAATGATCCTGCTTGTTTAATTATCCAGTGTTAGAAATTATTAACTGTAAAACGTATTTTTTTTGTTTACCAAACGGTCTTAAGTCGATAGACCTGGCTGGTCAGAGTTTGATCTTAAAATTAGCTTATAGTACTTAGGGCTTTTTAGACCTAGTTAGTGCTCATTTCCATTACGACTCCCCCAGAGCTTTGGACACAGTGTTGTGAACGTTATTGCTCTTTTAGTGGTGAGGATTTTTAACATTTTGGTAATGACAAAAGTTAGTCAACACTGCTGATAGAGATCCACAGAAGTCAGTTCTTGGCCCTATTTGTTTGATTTGTTTACCGTCCCTCTTGTGTTTATCTATAGACAGCACTACACATGCTGACACTTTTTTATAATGCTGGTAAATCTAATTCTCACAGTAACATTTAATCATGTAAAATTAGGATCTAATTTAGTACATCCTTGACACAAAATACTGGTTCTACAAGAATTTATTGCACCTAAATTTAGGACAGAAGTGAGATTGGTTTGATATGTCCAGAGTTTTTAAAAATGCCTTTAATTGCATACATTTAATTAATTTATTATTATTATTATTATTATTATTATTATTATTATTATTATTATTTTACTTTTCGGTTTGTCAAAACATCTTAGCATGTCAAAAGCTTGATTGTGTAAGAATTGAATCATTTTATTTTCTGATTTGTACAGCAGCATTTAATTCAAATAATAATGAAAATAAACACTCTTTTGATCTGTTAATTACAGGCTTCAAAACATTGTGTACTTTGATAAGAACTGTAAAAGCCTGAAAATAATTACTAGAAGTGTATGTTATGCTATTATATATATATATATATATACATACATACATTACATACAACAGCTAGGCTAGACTTAGCTATGGCTATTCAGTAACTGTTCTATTGAAGAAATCCTGTGTGGTGCAGCATCAGCCACCTTTCAATCTGCTGTCTAATGCTAAGTTCTTAGGACTTGTGAAAATGCATGTAATAGTTCAGTTTTGTCTATTTAAAGAGTTGTCTTAATAAAAATAGGTTATTTAGAAATGTTATATATATGTATATATTCTCTGTTTTTCTGTTTCAGACAGCCTATCTAAGCCATAGCCATGGTGTGCATTCCCTGCATTGTGATTCCTGTCCTGTTGTGGGTCTACAAGAGGTTCCTGGAGCCTATCATCTATCCTTTCATTTCACCCATCATTAACACCTTCTGGACCAAAAAAGCAGTCCAGGATACAAGCCCCAGTGATCAGAAAGTCAGCGAAAAAAGTAACGAAACACACAAGGTAAGCAAATGACCAATAATGTTTCAGCATTTAATTTGTGTTTAAAATTAATCCTTTGTTGCCGTTGTTCTAAGTTTTTTACATGTATATATATTTTTTCTGGGTATCTTTCAGCCTGAAAGCAACAGTGAGGCCACTGCAAATGGAGCTACTGTCGTAGCAGATAAGAAGACAGACTGAACACTTTGAATGTTCCCACTAAAACAAAGATTGTGTAAATATTTCCGTGATATTAAATAGTAAAACTAACATTTTTAGTCTTCTTCAAATTATATGCTTTTGAAAAAAGTCAGATGTTGTTTGAGGTGTGATTTAATTTTTTTTTAATTCTAATTATTTGTACATTATCCTTGTCAAATAAATGAATTGCAAATAATATTGAGTTGCAATTAAGTGAATTGCAAGCACTTTAATGAAAAAATTAAAGACAATCTTCAAATACATACTTATTTCTGACCAACTTGAATGCTGTTTTGTTTAGTTTAAGAGAACACTTTAAGAGCATACTCCTCAGAGAAGTGTAATATAATATAGATAGAAATTAAAGTAGAATCATTAAGTATATTTTTGTGAAAGCTTCGAGTAAAGAGTAATTTGGGAGTTGTATTACCTTTTCTGGTCCTGTGTGAGTATATTTAAGAAAAAAACTAGTTTTGTGGTCAAACTGGTTTAAAGTATCAAATTGTACAAACATTTGTTTGAAATGAGCTCAAGTGGCTTGTAAAAGTTTGACTGTTGTTCACTGAAAGGAATATTTTTGTACTCTTAACAGAAAAGTAATAGTTACAATTGCATTTAGAATAACAAATAAAAATAAATTAAAGCACTTTCTTGGAAAATGTCTTTGTATCATAATGTATTGTTTATTTTTCAGTGTGTAGAAACTAATTTGGGATGTAACAGAAATTACAGAATAATATTGGTTGCATACATTTTTTTTTTTCATTCGATGCAGACAGTGTTTGTGGGCACCAGTTCTGGCTTTCTCAGTCCAGTACATGACCAGTAGTGGTCCCGTTCGTTTCCAGTGAGCCGGCTTATAACCCAGCTAGAAGGGATGTCAGTTTGTGAGAAAAGAGCTTCCTTTTTTTATAAGTTTAACATATTTGCTTTTGAGAGAGTGTGCCATCTCAAACCAAGTGCAACCTGCTAGAAAGAGCTAAGTTTATTCTATCGATAACAACTGACGTCCTTCTGAAAGGCTGAATGTAATGTGGTGCAAACTCCGCCTTCCCGCCGTGATGATTTTTCAGCCGGTCAGTAAATGGTGTGGACCCATCGCGTCAAACGATGCGTTCAAGTCGTCATCACGCAATGGGTGGCGACGTGGAAAACATGGAGGACGGTAGTACGTAGAGTAAACTTAGCTGTCTGAATTACAGCCGTATTTCACGTATTTGCCCTGTTTTGAGTTAAACCCGACAAACAACCTAGAGAAAATTTATATTTAGTTTAGAAACAGTTGTACTTTAAAGGAACCGAGA